ATAGGGCTACCTTGACCAACCCTACCTTGTCACAACACAACTGATTGGCTCAAACGCATTAAGAAGGAAATAAATTGCACAAATTAACTTTTAACAAGGCACACCTGTTAATTGAAATGCATTCCAGGGACTACCCCGTGATGCTGGTTGAGAGAATGCCAAGAGCTGTCATCATTGGAAATGGTGGCTACTTTGAAGAATCTCAAATATAAATATATTTTGATTTGTTTAACACTTTTTTGGTTAGTACATGATTCCATATGTGTTATTTCATAGTTTTGATGTCTTCACTATTATTCTACAATGTAGAAAATGGTACAAATAAAGAAAAACCGTTGAATGAGTAGCTGTGTCCAAACTTTTGACTGGTACTGTATATGAATGGAAAGCCAAAAGCCATCTATCACGTGACACCATTCATTCCTATGTGAAGACTCAATAGCGCATTGAAACCAAATTAAGTCGGTTAAGATTAAGAAGGCATCTCATCGAGACACACACAGTTTGAGCTACTCCAGGAAGTGACGTTGCAGGCTAACTCAGTGCTGCCACCTCATTGAGGAACTACATTTTAAGGCTGACCGGGATACTGCAGGCTACCATTAGCCACTAAATTATCCTTATAACTTCTTCTGTGTTCGATTTTAAAATAATCGGTTCAAGGACATACATCTGGTGTGTCTTTATTTACACAAAGATTGACATTTTTCCATTCAATATAATGGAGATCCTGTTTTCTGCTAATAGGGCCCTGTGTAGCTCAGTTGGAAGAGCATGGCGCTTGCAACGCCAGGGTTGTGGGTTCGTTTCCCACGGGGGCCAGTATGAAAATGTATGCACTCACTAACTGTAAGTCGCTCTGGAAAAGAGCGTCTGCTAAATGACTAAAATGTCAATGTAATACCTGCAGTACTGCGGTCAGCCTAGAAACTTCCGTGGCTTCAATGAGAGGGGGCAGTTGTTCTCCCCTGGTCTGTTCTAAGACCTGCGAATCCGAGGCTATGATTGCGCTTCCGTTGTGTGTGTGTGTGTGGTAGCGTAGCAACCTTTATTTGCATGCAATTAACATATATTAATATGCATTACCATTTCTCCCGACAGTTGAAGAACTGCTCTGACGCGATGCGTGCTACACCTGCACCATGCCGAAAGAGTGGCAGAGGCTGCCGAACTATCCTCAAAAGTCCGACAAGGCGCACTGCGTGGTTTCAGACGGCAATCTATCCCTGGTCTTCCAAAGAGAAAGTGAGTTTTTAGTTCGGTGCGTCGATAGAGTGATGTTTGAACTAGGGCTTATTCTGGTGACATGATGATCGATGATTGGGTGCCATTTGACAAATAAAAATAATGTCGCTCTTATCCATAATAATCTCATCACGTAGACTAGCCTACCCGCACTGTATCTGTAAGCTGTTGGCTAGAGCGCACGTGCCAAGACCGGAGTGGGCACATTTGCAAAACTATCCGTAGAGTTTAAAGTGCGAGTTGAAAGTGCGATAGAAACACATTGAACGTTCGATTTTATTCGGTACATGACAACTTAAGCGAAAAAGTACATTTTATGTGCACTAGTCATCACGCACTGCTTTGTATCTTCAACAGGACCATTTGGTGGAAACACACCACTGTTGGAAAAATGCGCATATTTTGTTTATGCAGATTTTGGAATATTCGCATGAAAATCTGTCACCAATTGGATGGAAACCTAGCTACTGTAATAGAAACAACAGGCAGATATATTTACCACACTTTAATGTAATAGTTCAGGTTAAAATAAAACATTTTAATGGAAAAGCTTACATAAAGTCACCATCTGCTACATAATTATAGATATATTCATCCTTTTTGATATCACACATTGCTCTCTAATATGATCAAATAAATGCTTATGTACATGCTGATCAATGTTAAGCTGTATTTACAAGACTGATCTCAAAATGAAATAATGTAAAAATGGATATCCAATTAAACATCAGAAACAATTGATTTGACCCCCAAACTAAAGCATTCGCTAACTGTCTAGCAAGTACTGTATCTGATCATACAATCTTACACTGTACACTCGCACTGCATACACACAGTATAAACACTAACACACAAACTCTAACACACACAAACCATAAAATGCACCCATTGGCAGCATACAGAGAAAACACCCATACGCCAAACATTTACACACAGTATTCAAACTCACACGGGCCAATCGCACAGAAACACTTACAAACTGTGTAATGCTGCAGCCTTTGACATCATTAACAACTGAATACATTGATTGCCATTTAAAGGATAAAAAACAAGACCAATGTTATATTGCTGACATTTTAAAGTGAACTTTAACCACGCGCACTCACGCCCTACTGTATTGCACTTGATACTCCATCTGAGATACACACACCTAACATGACGGAGCGGCACTAAACATAATATGACTTTTTTTCAACTCTGCTTGTACCATCAAACATGAAGTATGAAGTCTTAAAACACAAAGTAACTTGTTTTTTCACACATCCACCTAAAAACTCAAAAAAAGGGCACAGCCTTCGGGGCGCTAGGTTTTTGCATAAAGGTCTAATTGTCTCAACCCTGTGAATTGCACTTAATGAGAGAGAATTTGGATTTTTGTTGACTACAATCCCACACAGACTATACGAGTAGGATTTAGTGAAGTTGCTAAGGAGGTGGTCGCACTGCAACACACACACACTCGTAAACACACAACTCACACATGCCCGAGTGTATACACACTGTCGCTCACACACTCACTCACTGGCACTCACACAGCCTGTCCTCGCTCGTTCTCTACCTCGATAGAACTAAACATTGGGATATATGAGTATTGACAAAGGTGCTCCCGTAATAGTGGGGTAGGTTTTATATAAAACTTGTAAAACCTACGAGTGTGTGTGTATATATACAGTATCTGTCAAATGTTTGGACACATCTACTCATTCTAGGGTTTTTCTTTATTATTACTATTTTCTACAGTGTAGAATAATAGTGAAGGCATCAAAACTATGAAATAACACATGGAATCATGTAGTAACCAAAAAAGTGTTAAACAAATCAAAATATATTTTATAATTGAGATTCTTCAAAGTAGCCACCATTTCCATTGATGACAGCTCTTGGCATTCTCTCAACCAGCATCATGAGGTAGTCCCTGGAATGCATTTCAATTAACAGGTGTGCCTTGTTAAAAGTTAATTTGTGGAATTTATTTCCTTCTTAATGCGTTTGAGCCAATCAGTTGTGTTGTGACAAGGTAGGGGGGTATACAGAAGATAGCCCTATTTGGTAAAAGACCAAGTCCATATTATGGCAAGAACAGCTCAAATAAGCAAAGAGAAACGACAGTCCATCATTAATTGAAGACATGAAGGTCAGTCAATACGGAAAATTTCAAGAACTTTGAAAGTTTCTTCAAGTGCAGTCGCAAAAACCATTAAGCACTATGTTGAAACTGCCGCTCATGAGGACCGCCACAGGAAAGGAAGACCCACAGTTACCTCTGCTGCAGAGGATAAGTTCATTAGAGTTACCAGCCTCAGAAATTGCAGCCCAAATAAATGCTTCACTAAGTTCAAGTAACAGACACATCTCAACATCAACTGATCAGAGGAGACTGTGTGAATCAGGCCTTCATGGTCGAATTGCTGCAAAGAAACCACTACTAAAGGACACCAATAAGAAGAAGAGACCTGCTTGGGCCAAGAAACACAAGCAATGGACATTAGATCGGTGGAAATCTGTCCTTTGGTCTGATGAGTCCAAATGTGAGATTTTTGCTTCCAACCGCCGTGTCTTTGTGAGACGCCGAGTAGGTGAACGGATTATCTCCGCAAGTGTAGTTCTCACCGTAAAGCATAGAGGAGGTGTGATGGTCACACTGTCTGTGATTTATTTAGAATTCAAGGCACACTTAACAAGCATGGCTACCACAGCATTCTGCAGCGATACGCCATCCCATCTGGTTTGCGCTTAGTGGGACTATCGTTTGTTTTTCAACAGGACAATGACCCAACACACCTCCAGGCTGTGTAAGGGCTATTTGACCAAGAAGGAGAGTGATGGAGTGCTGCATCAGATGGCCTGGCCTCCACAATCACCCAACCTCAACCCAATTGAGATGGTTTGAGATGAGTCGGACCGCAGAGTGAAGGAAAAGCAGCCAACAAGTGCTCAGCATATGTGGGAACTCCTTCAAGACTGTTGGAAAAGCATTCTAGGTGATGCTGGTTGAGAGAATGCCAAGAGTGTGCAAAGATGTCATCAAGGCAAGGGGTGGCTATTTGAAGAATATCAAATATAAAATATATTTTGATTCATTTAACACTTTTTTGGTTACTACATGATTCCATATGTGTTATTTCATAGTTTTGATGTCTTCACTATTATTCTACAATGTAGAAAATAGTAAAAATAAAGAAAAACCCAAGAATGAGTAGGTGTGTCCAAACTTTTGACTGGTACTGTATATCACACACACACACACAGAGTATACAAAACATTAAGAACACCTGCTCTTTCCATGACAAGACTGACCGGGTGAAATCTATGATCCCTTAATGATGTTACTTGTTAAATACACTTCAATCAGTGTAGATGAAGAGGAGAAGACCAGTTAAAGAAGGCCTTCTAAGCCTCGAGACAATTGAGACATGGATTATGTATGTGTGCCATTCAGAGGGTGAATGGGCAAGACAAAATATTTAAGTGCCTTTGAACGGGGTATGGTAGTAGATGCCAGGCGCACCGGTTTGTGACAAGAACGGCAACGCTGCTGGATTTTTCACGCTCAACAGTTTCCTGTGTGTATCAAGAATGCTCCACCACCCAAAGGACATCCAGCCAACTTGAAAACTGTGGGAAGCATTGGAGTCAACATGGGCCAGCATCCCTGTGGAAGGCTTTCGACACCTTGTAGAGTCCATGCCCCGACAAATTAAGGCTGTTCTGAGGGCAAAAGGGAGGGGTGCAACTCAATATTAGGAAGGTGTTCCTAATGTTTGGTATACTCAGTGTGTATATTTATATAAAAACAAACATCACATGCTATTCTTGGAAAAGCTGTATGTAAGTGACGGAGTGGCAGAGCCGATGGCCCTTACGCAGGGTGAGGGGGCACACTGGCACACATCCAGGCCAGGAAGAACAACGGATGAGGGATGAAAGATCAATGAAAACATCTCCCTTCACCTCTCAGTCCCAGCCGTTGTCCTTTATCATGTGGGACAGCTCAATGATGAACTTCCCCTCCTTGTACTTCTGACTTAACTCAAAGGCCTGCTCCTGTAGAGAGAGAGGGGGGTGATAAGAGGCGGGAGGGCGTAGTAGACAAGCTTAAAAAGACATCTACATTTTCTGAGGATGGGGATATTCTTTTAGTTCTTCATTCTTTACAGTGTGTAGACAGATAAGTAGCATACTATCTGTGTGTGTGCGCGTCCTTACGTATTTCCAGCCCAGTGTGGTGTGGCAGTTCTCACAGTAGATGTCTGCCACAGCGTGGAGCCCGGTGAGTAGCAGCCTCTCCTCGGCAAGACCACAGCCCACGTTCACCCTGAAAACAGCAGGAACAAGAACCACAGGCCAATTACCGCCATGGTTCCCCGCCACAAATTTCTGTTTTGTGACCTGACCTTAGCTTATCGGATTTTCTGGTGACCCACCAGATAAGCATATACAGTACCAGTGAAACGTTTGGACACACCTACTCATTCAAGGGTTTTTCTTTATTTGTACTATTTTCTACATTGTAGAATAATAGTGAAGACATCAAAACAATGAAATAACACATATGGAATCATGTAGTAACCAAAAAAGTGTTCAACAAATCAAAATATATTGTATATTTGAGATTCTTCAAATAGCCACCCTTTGCCTTGATGACAGCTTTGCACACTCTTGGCATTCTCTCAACAAGCTTCACCTGAAATGCTTTTCCAACAGTCTCACATATGCTGAGCACTTGTTGGCTGCTTTTCCTTCACTCTGCCGTCAGACTCATCCCAAACCATCTCAATTTGGTTGAGATCGGGGGACTGTGGAGGCCAGGTCATCTGATGCAGCACTCCATCACGCTCCTTCTTGGTTAAATAGCCCTTACACAGCCTGGAGGTGTGTTGGGTCATTGTCCTGTTGAAAAACTAATGATAATCCCACTTTGCCCAAACCAGATGGGATGGCGTATCACTGCAGAATGCTGTGGTAGCAATGCTGGTTAAATGTGCCTTGAATTCTAAATAAATCACAGACAGTGTCAACAGCAATGCACCCCCACACCATAACACCTCCTCCTCCATGCTTTACGGTGGGAAATACACATGCGGAGATCATCCGTTCACCCACACCGCGCCTCACAAAGACACTGCAGTTGGAACCAAAAATCTCAAATTTGGACTCCAGACCAAAGCACAAATTTCCACCGGTCTAATGTCCATTGCTTGTGTTTCTTGGCCCAAGCAAGTCTCTTCTTATTATTGGTGTCCTTTAGTAGTTGTTTCTTTGCAGCAATTTGACCATGAAGGCCTGATTCACACAGTCTCCTCTGAACAGTTGATGTTGAGATGTGTCTGTTACTTGAACTCTGTGAAGCATTTGGGCTGGTAACTCTAATGAACTTATCCTCTGCAGCAGATGTAACTCTGGGTCTTCCATTCCTGTGGCAGTCCTCATGAGAGCCAGTTTCATCATAGCGCATGATGGTTTTTGCGACTGCACTTGAAGAACTTTCAAAGTTCTTGAAATGTTCCATATTGACTGACCTTCATGCCTTCAAGTAATGATGGACTGTCTTTTCTCTTTGCTTATTTGAGCTGTTCTTGCCATAATATGGACTTGGTCTTTTACCAAATAGGGCTACCTTGACCAACCCTACCTTGTCACAACACAACTGATTGGCTAAAATGCATTAAGAAGGAAAGAAATTCCACAAATTAACTTTTAACAAGGCACACCTGTTAATTGAAATGCATTCCAGGTGACTACCTCATGAAGCTGGTTGAGAGATGGCCAAGAGTGTGCAAAGCTGTAATCAAGGCAAAGGGTGGCTATTTGAAGAATCTCAAATATAAACATGTATTTTGATTTGTTTAACACTTTTTTGGTTACTACATGATTCCATATGTGTTATTTCATAGTTTTGATGTCTTCACCATTATTCTACAATGTAAAAAATCGTAAAAATAAAGAAAAACCCTTGAATGAGTATGTGTGTCCAAACTTTTGACTGGTAGTGTATATTTCTTTTTTTGAACAAGAAAGGTGATAATTCTATCTAGAACCTAATATTTAGCCCCAAATCAGGGGGAGTTAGCTATGCACCAGTTGAGAAACGACATGCAAACTACTAAATGTAAACTACAGCAACCAGAAGGTAAATATAAATCAACTAGAACGTGACCTCTACTGTTAGGATAGTGAACTGGCTTCATGGTGCATTGTATGGCTCACAGGACTAGTGTAAACACACTGAAATGGCATAAGGAGAACCTGGCAGATGCATGATAATGAAAATGTACTGAGGCTTGAGCGGTAACTAAGGTAGGACTGTGTTTTAGGGACTTAAAAGGAATACTATTTTGTTCATTAGTTATGTAGGCTATATGGCCATACACTGGATGACAAGTAAAGATACTCACACAGAGTTGAAGAGGTAGGCACGTCCCTGGCTACCCTGAAAAGACTGGACAAAATAAAAGAGAGAATGAACTCAAATGTGCCACGAAGACAGAGAGAGACAATGTAAAATAAATAAATACAAATCGGTGGTTATAAGGAAAGTGGGACATTGAGGTAACGCTTCCCAGCTGGCTGTTGTTTATCTTGTTATTACAATTTTATTACTTGTTATTGAAATGTAATATCATTTCACACAGCCAACCAGGGGTTGGAAGCAAAATTATTTTACAATCGTTTTGTTCTAAACAAAATCACTATTTTTTTTGTTCCGTTACTGTTCCGACCAGCAAAATAAAGCTCTGAACCAGTTCGAACCAAAAAAGTACGGGTTTATGTAGTTCCTTTTTTAACCTGTGAAATCAACAGTTTTTTTTTACATTTAGCTCATTTTAGCAGACACTCTTATCCAGAGCGACTTACAGGAGCAATTAGGGCTAAGTGCATTGCTCAAGGGCACAGACAGATTTTTCACCTAGTCGGCTCAGGGATTTGAACCAGCGACCTTTCGATTACTGGCCCAATGCTCTTAACCACTAAGCTACCTACCGCTTTACTTCACTAATCAGTGCGGATAGAGCAGGCAAGCTAGTTGTTTACATGCGTGATGGACAGACAAGTGGGGAGAGAGTGAGAGAGGGTTGAGGAGAAGGCTTGAAGCGCTAGGCATCTTGTTATGACATGCATTATCTGAATTAGGTCCACAGAATTATACCTAGGAGGAGTGGCTTCTGTGAAGGAACTTTGAATGGCCTTTGAGCTAGCAAGCTAACACGCTTGAACCTAAACACGCACATGCAAAGATTCTCATCTTGCAGGCAGCTGCTGGAATACGTTTGAGTGATAGAGAGGGTTTTGCATACGCGCTTTGTTGCGTTTTTTGTGGGACTAGAAAAAAATGCCTGGAACGTAAAATAATGTTATTAACCGGTTTCCATGCTTTTAAAATAAGGGTTCTGTTCCTTGAAAAATGTCATTATTTTCCGGTTTCCGGTTATGTTCTCTGAACCGGTTCCAACCCCTGCAGCCAACACAGGCTTATTATTCAACTATATGGAATTTACATTGCTCGATCTAATATTTATATATTTCTTAATTCCATTCTTTTACTTTTAGATTTGTGTGTATTGTTGTGAATTGTTAGATACTACTGCACTGTTGGAGCTAGGAACACAAGCATTTCGCTACAGCCGCAATAACATCGGCTAAATATGTGTATGTACATTTACATTTTAAATTTTAGTCATTTAGCAGACGCTCTTATCCAGAGCGACTTACATGAGCAATTAGGGTTAAGTGCCTTGCTTAAGGGCACATCGACAGATTTTTCACCTAGTCGGCTCAGGGATTAGAACCAGCGACCTTTCGGTTACTGGCACAACGCTCTTACCCACTAAGCTACCTGCCGCCCCGGTTATTTTATTTAACCCACTAGCCATAAATGGTCCCTGTAGTCTCACCTTGGAGATGAGGTCATCATGGTTGGCCAGGTGTGCTCGGCAGTGAACACAGCTGTACCTGCGGTGGCAGGAGTCAAGGTACGCCTGGAACGTCTTAGCCTTCGTCTGCTTCACCATGTCTGAGGAGAGGAAAACAGAGTGACAACGTTTAACAGGAAAACAGGAGAGGAGACAGAGAGGATATGGGGCATTACAGGGGCTCATAATGCTAGGCTACTCCTAAATGTGATTGTAGTAAACCCTAAACTTCACTATTTGTGTAGTGTAGTAACAATGAGAAAATGCCATTTTGTAAGCGTATTTGCCAAATAGGGCAAAGTTGAGCAAACAACACAAACACAAAGAGCAACATATGATTCCCATGGCTTTCAAATGAAAACAGGAAAAATAAAATGCAAGTGTAAGAAACAAGTTCAATAACTGTTGGCTGTCTGTCCTCTGTCCTGTCCAACATTACAAAAAAAGTAATGCCAGCATTGTAGAAAACGTATGCACTCAAATGTTAATTTCCTCTCCATTTAGGCATGACAAGTCACACCTTGTCATGGTACAAGTGTGTCACAAAAAATGTCAGAAGGAATATGAATCACACAATAATGAACTAACTGTATTATTAGGAGTGGGAAACAGGTCTGGGCACATATTAGTTACTTTATTTTAAGCCATATGCATTCTAATTCGCAGCTCACTTCCTGGTACAATTACAGCAGGGTCCGTGCTATCAAGCGATCCTCCGTGCTATCCACGATCCTTGGAACGTCCCAACCCAATTGAAGTTTACATTTTAAATGGTTTAAGTAAGGTTAAGACGTCGCAAGGATCCCGATAACGATGACCATTGCACCAGACGGAACACAACATGCATTGACCTACTTAACTGTACCAGCTAAACCAGACTATGTATGGTCAGAGTCAGTAACGCTCCATAGATGGATGGGAAAATTAGTTCATTTTTTACTCAAAAGTCTTGGGTAATTTAAAACGGTTAAATGCCCATGTGAAAATCCATTATTATAGCTAGAGTAATTTCAAAATAACGGCCAGTATTAATGTCACAGCATAGATACACAACAACAAGCAAAACATCACTCTGATCCTTGCAATTTTGCTAGCCTGCTAACGTTAGCTGACTCGCTCCACATTCTGACAAAGCAACAAACTAACGTTAGCTAACTACTTAGCTACGTATAATTCCCCAAAACGATTGCTACAGTGAATTATTCCTCGTCAGTCTTCCTCTCTAGCTAGCTATCGTGAGTGACGTTAGCTTGCTAGCTAGCAACTCAACCATAATCTGGGTTTACAGGAGAATATGTTTACTTTAAACCCGCCATTTCAGGCTCAGCTAGCAACATGGAAGGAAATACAAGCGCAAGAGAAAATAGCTCGAACTGGACTCACCTAACGTAGTTATCGGATTTTCAGTGTAAGACCTAATTCTAACGAAGATATGACCAGCAAACTACCGTTGGATAGGTCAATTGAGATGCATCAGTAAATTGCTCAATCGTCTAGGGGATAGGTTGTTGGGTCACTTTTTCAGCAAGAAACAATCGGACGAATGGATCCAAACAATCAAGAAGAATCGTGGTGCAGATTTGCCTTGCAGCTGTTCTCTCTCCGTCTCTCACACTTGACAACAGGAACACGTTTTTCTCTGAGATTAAACAGTTTCGAGTATGTTGTAGTTAAAATATTAAAAGAACTATAGTTACTCCGACTAAGTTTTTTGTAGATAGGATATTTTCGTGGTGCCGGGACAAACTTTGCAATATTATTCAGGGTTTGTTTACAACGCTGGTTAAGGAGGCGGTACCAAATACGTCCCCAGCAACAAAACAAATCCCAAACGACCAATAGGAATCGTCAGATTGACTGGCAGAATGTAGGTCAGCCAATTAGGTTGAATTTTTACTCGTATCTATGAGGGGATTCGATTAATATCGCCCGGGCGTCAATGTAGTCGTGTTTTGCACTGGCTGAACGTTTATTGCATTCGATTCCCGGGCGTGGTTGTGAGCCATGTTTCTGAAGCGTGGATAACGCTGCCTTGTTGATAACATAACGAAGCGGTGCAGATTTGTTCGATTTGAGCAGTCACGTAACGGGCCATAGGCCGGTTTAACCCGGGCCATCTTAATATAACACCCCATATAGAACAATCATCAGAAATTACGCGATATGAATCAGACAGTGGGGCGCCGCCCGACCCACTAGTTGGTCAGAAGGTTCAAATCAACGTTTCATATCGTGGTGTCCGTGTACTGTATTGACAATGACACAATAACGCGAGATCACATTTCCAGCATGGCCGACAACCAGACCTCCCTTGCCCGCCATAGGAAGCAAAATGGTAATTAATAAATAAGAAGTGAGCATTGCATTTGCAGCACCTTAATTAATAAAAACATTTCAAGCGTAAACTCTGGCTGGCTGCTGGCTCACCCGATTAGACAACAATCACCACGTTGCTGGCCCGCGGGCGCGTTGCAGGTCGACACGGGGGGGTTCATTGCTAGGCTGCGGTTGCAGGTCGACACGGGTGCGTTCCAGGTGTACTTCATTGCTTCTTAATTTTTTTTTGTCATTTAGCAGACACTCTTATCCAGAGCGACTTACAGGAGCAATTAAGTTTAAGTGCCTTGCTCAAGGGCACATCGACAGATTTTTCACCTAGTCGGCTCGGGGATTAGAACCAGCGACCTTTCGGTTACTGGCACAATGCTCTTAACCACTAAGCTACCTGCCGCCGGGTGTATTGCAACGTTTGGATAGTTAACATAACAGATTAGCATAATTAGTTCAGATTATTTGATTATTTATTGGCCTCTACTTTTATTTTATTTTTTACAAATCCCAAATCACTATTGGAGGGCTTATCACCTCTGTTCCTGTAGAGCTACCATCCTGTAGGTTTTCACTCCAAACCCAGTAGTAACTAATGTGATTCAGTTTATCAACCAGTTAGTTAGGTGTGCTAGATGTTAAGTTGCGTCAATTCAAATCTGGTATAGGAACAAAAAGAGGTCAATACACGTCTTCTAAAATAGACTAGTATTTTAATTAATGCAAACACTTGAATTGGTAAATATGATGTTTGTATATACGGGCCCACTGAAAAACCACGCAGGGCAGTCAGAGAACTGAGCCATTGTTATAAGTTCTTCTTTAAATACTCTGACAGAGATAGTTCCCACTCCCTGCTGGCCTATCAGAGTAGAGACTAAGCGTGGTTTAGACTTACTCAGCCTATCATTGGCGCACAGGCTGGTCCCAGCCCCTTGGCACTTCACTGTTGCCAGGCATTAGTTGTTATCTTTACAACTTGTCTCGAGTCAGCAACCTCAGACATCTTTGTAGCAGAACACATGTCCTTGAGCGGTTTAACAAAGAGGCAGTGTGTGTGTATGTGAGTCACAAGTCTGTCTCAGCCTACCCCCTAATGGTTCCCCACATTAATCACAGCTTGTTATGTTAAACAATCTGTATCAGTACAGCACAAACCTATTATGTTTAATCATTAATGTATTCTTTCTAAGCTAGGCATCACATCTAGTTATAAGAAAATAGATCCCCACATAGATAAGGGTTTGAAGAAAAACCTACACTCCCATTCAAACCCAGAATCCTATAATGGATTTCTCAAGATTTCCAACACGATTCAACGAGACAAGATTTGGAAGGATGGCCACATGAGGCTAGTGTTGAACATATCAGCTAACCACATATTGGTGGTGTTCCTGCCTGATTATGTTGAAGACGTTGCATTGCATCAACCAATGGTTGTGTGCCATGTCATCGACTGTGGGGCATTACATTGCTATATCATATGATGTGGTTAGCTGACATGTTAAACACCTATCCAAGCTTTGCGAGATCTGGCAGCCGTCTGCAATGAAGTCAAGCAGGAATGCGACCCATATGATATAGTGGGATAGTAATCTAATGCCCGACTGCGCAGTCGATGATGTGGGATTCAAATGACGTGCTATGCAACTACTGGTTGATGCAATGCATTATCTGCAATTTGGTCAGGGCCTGGAACATGACCCAAAACTAGCTGAATCAGGTATGTTAGGTCCAGGTTGGACTGAATACCCACAGGAGGGTAGATCTCCAGGAAGAGGGTTAGGTAGCTCTGTTGTAACCTATGTAAGTACTAGGTCGTATTTATTGGTGCGGACCGTAGCAAAACACCCTTGCAATGAAAAACTAAAAACAAGCATTTCTTATAGGACAAGTTCAGGTAGTCCCTTGCAGTTTCAGTCCCTTTTCATTCTGTTTGGTGTCTAGTGAATACGACCCTGTACTGCCTCCAACCAAGTCCCAGGCTTTTGTGGGCACACTGCCCCACGACGGCTCATTTGCAGTTCTTTAGTTTAAGTTTTGTTTTTGTGTAGAGAGCAGTCTCGCACATTGGTTGTTGAACGATGGCCGACCCAGATTGTCCTTTACGAATTCAGAAAGACTGGCACTGCTCACAGGAAAGATCAAAAGGAAGATGTGACGGACTGGTCTTGGTCTCCCATCTCGTGTAGTGTCTTTAGATTGTTCTGTTACACTGGTCGCAGCAAGACTCTTTATTGCCACACAATCAGAGTTGGTGGTCATTGCTTTTGGTACAGCATGATAGGCAAAAACTCTCACATGGTTTTAGTTTGAACTTATTAGTATAACATGTTAAGGCACAGTGTGAATTGCATTGACTCTTGAATTGCAAGAGACAAACACAATAAAGAACAGCCAGGAAAATAACCTCTCCCTCAACGTCAACAAAACGAAAGAAAAACTAAAGAGCTGATCGTGGACTTTAGAAGACAGTAGAGGGAGCACGCCCCCATCCACATTGACGGGACCGCAGTGGAGAAGGTGAAAAGCTTCAATTTCCTCGGCGTACACATCACTGACAATCTGAAATGGTCCACCCACACAGACAATGTGGTGAAGAAGGCACAACAGCGCCTCTTCAACCTCAGAAGGCTGAAGAAATTTGGCTTGGCCCCTAAGACCCTCACAAACTTTTACAGATGCAGCATTGAGAGCATCCTGTCAGGCTGTAACACCGCCTGGTACGGCAACTGCACCGCCCGCAACCGCAGGGCTCTCCAGAAGGTGGT